CAAGATGTTTGAATAAAATGGAATGGAAAAAGATGTATAATTCATTATAACTCCAGGATTTTCCCTAATGGCAACACATAAATGCCTCCCCTACCCAAATGGAATTATACAGGGCAGAATCTACAAGACAGCTCTCCTACAGGAGAAGTTCCTATAGTTGGGAGGAGGGAGGGGAATAAAACTGGAAAACTGTAAGGCTGGAAATGGAGCTGAAGGCCGTCTAGTCCAGGTTAGGATGTTGTCATTGCAATCGCCCCTAAAGCAAGGATGCAGAATCTGTAGTCTTCCAGATGCTGCCAAACCACAGTTCCCATCATCCCTTGTCTTTGGCCATGCTAGCAGTCATGCTTCTCTCCATTGCCATGTGGCAGCATCAGTAGTAAATGTTGCAACAGGAAAAAAATACAAGAGGCCTCCATATTTAGTTAGAAAGTACATCTAACTATTTCAAGTGAAATAAGCACTTGCTACAGAGGAACCTGCAAGCTGTTTACTGATTTAGTTTTGTAGCAGACTCCTCAAAGGTATACTTAGGGGTGGAGGAGAAATTTGGTTTTGTTTACGTTTTAATGAGAATGTACCTAGTTCACAATTTTTGAACAAATACACGAACTGAAACAAAGCTATCCTAAGAAATTCACACTTCTCTGAATTTCATGATGCAGTTCTCTAAGAATGCACATGTCAGAGAGTCACGCATAAAAACACATTATACTAGTGAACATAGCATTCTGTTAAGGAAAATAACATGCAAAAGTGTATATTTCAGTCACAACTCTGTACAAAAAAGTGTTTAATGTGGTAAATTTGCACCAAAATGCACATGAATTTTCATGAGGGTTTTTTTGTTTTTAATTGCAAATTTCTGCAGATAGGAAGAAAATGAGAAATGGAGAGACCAGGAACTGACATATCTGCCCCCCTTGATCTTAAAACGAACGTCCCAAAGGGTATTTCTGTTATAATACTGTGGCCGATGCTGTAACTGCTGCATTGTTGTTACACAATTGTATACACTGCTTTTGCAAATTAACAAAATTGTTAGCCAAAATGACAGATCCCTGTTCAAAGTAACTTGCAGTGTACTTGATCTTATTTATTTGCTCCTGATGGAGTGTAGGAATAGGTTTTGGATGAGTTTGTTTTTAACAGGGATGATTATAAACCCTTTGTCCATCACTTTTGCAGGGGTTATGTTCTGGGTCTCCACACACATAAGTGAAACTTCATAAAGTGGGGAGCACCCTGAAAACACCCTTTAAACGCCCTCTCTGACACTCTCTCTTCAATGCATACCAAAAATACTGCACCAAAAATTATCCACAACTAGAATTAAAGCTCTTGGGCTGGCAGGAGGCTGGAGGATGCCCAGGAAAACTGCTGCTGCTGCTCTATCCCACACACCAGCTGTTAGACGGGGAGGCTGAGCAGCGTAAGCAAAGCCCTGCTGTGCCTCTGTCTCTTCGGGGCTTCCTCCACCCTCACTGATGTCCTCTTCAGGTTCCAGGAAGGGTCTTGTCGCACGGCACAAGGACTCTCCAGCTCTGTCCTGCCATTTCCGGATAGGAATTAAATTATTTTATTATTTCCTGGTGTCATGTGCATGCATAGAGTGTGTGTGTGTGTGTGTGTAGGGAAATACCTGTAAGTCCTTATAGTCAGGGCTTTTTTCAACCAGAACTCAGTTCTGGCACTTCTCAGGTGAACGCAATTGCCATTATAAAATAACAAGGGAGGCGTTTGTGGTGAGTTCTGGCACCTCTTCTTCTAGAGAAATAGCACTGCTTATAGTGATATTAAAAGAACACAGCGAGGGGACCTTTTCTGTGGTAGCTCCATGTCTCTAGAATTCATTGTCAACTCACCACACTCCAGCCCTGTAGAGAGACTCTGAGGACCTCTTGGTTTCAGGTGACCTAGACATGAATTATATCTTTCATTGCTGTAGTGCTCTTTGAACTGGAATAATAAGGGAAAACAATGTTTTCCTATTTGGGATTGAGCAGTGTTTTCCTATGGCTGATTCATTTAGTGCTGGGATATTTCATACAAATCATCTTATATTTTATATTTTTGAATGTTCATCATGAAAGCTGCCTTGAGAGCATTCTACCCAGAAAGGCAGCCTATAAATATTCTCAAAGTAAAATAAAATATATTCTTCATTTCTTCCAACTTCCATCTATACTCCACCTCTTTGCCATCCTGACACTCAAAGCGGCAGACTTGGAGTTCTCAGGAGGTCTCCCACTTAGGCACTGACCAGACTGACACCTGCTTAGCTTTAGTAAGTGGGTGCACTGTGATCAGTTGTGTGCCAGTTGACTTGTGAAAAATTCCCAGGGATGCGATAAATAAACAAGTGATTTTAGGGACACATTTGGCCAGGGGTGGGTAACCTTCTTTGGCCTGAGGGCTGCATGCCACTTGTGCATGGGGCCATAGGCAAAGGTAGTCAGAGCACCAACATGAATTTTCCCACCCTGGCATTGTGTCTACCTACTCATCACCACTTATTGGCTTACTCCACAATAAAACTGTCTTTGTGCTTTCCAGTCAACATAGCACTACATTGGGGGGAAAGAGAAGATCAGTAGGGTTTGGATAAAAAATATGAAAACTTTGATCGTTTGAACTGAAGCCTTTGTTAGTGAGCTACACAGCTAGCTTGTGAGTCAGTTGTACAAAACATTTGCTTTTGTACACCAGCAATGATGTAAGGATAGGTGTCACTGTAACTACTTGGGTTTCCTTCCTTCCTTCCTTCCTTCCTTCCTTCCTTCCTTCCTTCCTTCCTTCCTTCCTTCCTTCCTTCCTTATCTGACCATCACAACAAACATTCTTTGTATTATCAATTTCTAAAAATGCTTTCATTCATGTAGGGAAAGACACTGACATTTCAAATCAGAATTCTCCTCAAGCTGCGCCAAAGCAGTCTTTCCCAAGGCACAAGCTATTGAAGAGCCTGGCTATAAATAACAATAAAAGAGAACAAAACAGATGGCCTACCTCTCCTTGTCCTCAGCCACGGAACGTGCAAATTAATCTGAGAATGGAGAATGCATGAGACAACACAATTATTGACAGCAAAGGAACATAGTGTGTTGTTGGAAGATGTCTTATAATCAGTCAGAATTCAAACAGAATCATGCCCCTGTTGTAGAAAGTGCTGAGCAAGGGGTTCTTGATATAGTTTGTGCTCACAAATGTGGGTCTTAATAGATCTAGCAGTCATATGCATGTATATCTTCTTTAGGGGCACAGAATGGCATGAGTGACCCCATATGACTCTCTTCAGGATTAAGACACCACTATTTGTCACCAGGGCTGTCTTAAGCATATGCGGCACCAGGGTGCAAAGATCCGGCCCCCCCCAGGTTGCCTAGTCCCAGGCGCGCAGGAGGGCAGAGCTGGTCAGCCGCCTCAGCGTCTCGCTGGCTCGGTCATCCCCGAACTCATTGCGCAGAGCCACCCGCAGCAGAAGAGCCCGCCGCAGCGCTTTGACCGATGGGCGGGCTCTTCCCCAGACTCAACTCTTGGGCCCTGGACTCCTGGCCTGGCGCCCCTGAGAGCCCAGCGCCCAGGTGCCCCGCACCCGTAGCGCCTATGGATAAGATGGCCCTGTTTGTCACATTAGTTTGTTGATCAGGCATTGACCTGGATAGATGAGTCCATTTACTATTGCATTTTAGCAATGTTATTTATATCCTTATTACAGTGGTTGGTACCTCGGGTTAAGTACTTAATTCGTTCCGGAGGTCCGTTCTTAACCTGAAACTGTTCTTAACCTGAAGCACCACTTTAGCTAATGGGGCCTCCTGCTGCTGCTGCGCTGCCGGAGCACGATTTCTGTTCTCATCCTGAAGCAAAGTTCTTAACCCGAACCACTATTTCTGGGTTAGCGGAGTGTGTAACCTGAAGCGTATGTAACCTGAAGCGTATGTAACCCGAGGTACCACTGTACATTTTAATATTATATGTGGGATTAAATTTGTATACTCTCCTTATACTACTTAGGATTAAAGGTAAAGGTACCCCTGCCCATACGGGCCAGTCTTGACAGACTCTAGGGTTGTGCGCCCATCTCACTCAAGAGGCCGGGGGCCAGCGCTGTCCGCAGACACTTCCGGGTCACGTGGCCAGCGTGACATCGCTGCTCTGGCGAGCCAGAGCCGCACACGGAAACGCTGTTTACCTTCCCGCTAGTAAGCGGTCCCTATTTATCTACTTGCACCCGGGAGTGCTTTCGAACTGCTAGGTTGGCAGGCGCTGGGACCGAACAACGGGAGCGCACCCCGCCGCAGGGATTCGAACCGCCGACCTTTAGATCGGCAAGCCCTAGGCGCTGAGGCTTTTACCCACAGCGCCACCCGCGTCCCTTTTACTACTTAGGATTACTTAGTATCATTTTTTGTCTTCAGTTTCTGAGTTCAGCTCTGGAGGTCAGTATATCATTTGTTGTGCCTTATATGGAGTCAGACCAATGGTCCATCTTGTTCAGTATTGCCTACACTGGCTGGCAGCAGCTGTGCAGTTTCAGGCAGGAAGTCATTCCCAGCCCAGTCTGGAGATTGAATGTGGGAGCTTCTGCATGCACAGCCAGTGATCTGTATGTCATACACAGAATGGACCCCAACGAATTGCAAACAATGTGATTAATGGACAATTGCCTCGTGGATATGGCCCAAGAAACAACACAAGGAATGGGATAATCAGTCTTGGGGGGGAAATGTTTTGGCCCTCTGCTTTCAGCCCAACTCATTTGGAAAGGACACAAAGATGTTAGGCTACCTCTGGCAACTGCCAGGGTCTTCCTATGGTGGCCTCAGACCATGATACTTCAAGCCACATGGGAACCCTATTATTTAAAGTTATGTTAACGGGGAAATGCTAATGGCTTATTCTGCCTCATTAACTTTGGTGCCATTAGCTTTGCAGATAAAAAGATTTCGAACTTAAATTCTGGGGAGCATCACTGACTTTCTTTTCTCTTTTAACAGTAAAGAAGAAATATTGCCAACGGCTGATGAAGACATATGGAATAATTCCAGGAGTTCAGGTATAAAACTCCATTCAATTAGTTCTTCTTTACTGCACATCTTAATTTTTAAAAGTAACAAAACACCCTGATATATGTGTGTGTGTGTGTGTGTGTGTGTGTCTGTGTTAACTCTTCAGAATCAGACATCCCCAAAATTCTTTATTCGCATGTGGATGATAATGAAATTCAACAACGTAAGGAAAATGTAAGCAGCAAAGATGTGGAACGTAACGAAGATGATAATGAAGATAATGAAAAAGAATTAGAGTTGTTGGTAAGTGTTGTGCATAATTCACTTAACGGTTTGATAATTTGAACCCATTTATTCCTCAAAGAAAGTTAGTTCTTCTCCAGCTTCAACAGTGCGGATAGGTACACAGAGATCTGCCATTGCTATGCCAACATCAGAGCTTTAACATGATTGGTGGTAAAAAGTGCTTTGATTCAGTCTATTCCATTATGTTCTGCTGCCCTTAATTCAATAACTTATCTCTTTTCTTCTTTTTATCACAGGCGATAAGGGACAATTTGAGAGCCCTAGAAGACTATTTCAAAGTCCTGTTTCTCTGGTCTCTGTGATCAGTGTACACATGTATACAATTTTTGTTCAGTAGACTTCCTTTGTTCTACATGTAGGCTGCCTCACACAGACTATGACTGGATATAGATGGCTGTTTGCCCTGCAGTGGCTGCTTGTAAGCTCACCACAGAGCAACAGCAATGATGTGGGGAGTCAGTTATCTTGGCATCCGGCCAATGGGTAAGGTGAATCATGCTGTACCCCACATCCCTGGTATGACAACTTCCTCCTTTCTTCCTGCTAATGAACCTCTTTAAGACCAATATTTGTGTACATCTTGGTCATGAATCTCACCTGCCAGCTATAAAATATACATTCCCAGCTCCTCTGATTCATATCAATTCCCTTCTAAACGACAAGCATTTAACCTGTGTGGGTTGTCCAAAATAGGCTGCCTTGCATTTTGTGGGAAGAAATGACAGCAAGTCTGGAGCTCATATCGCTTGTGTGCACACAGCTAAATAAGTATGGAATATAATACTGTTTGTTTGAGAACACAGGAAAGCTGAAACCCACAACAGGACTTGCAGCCCTTTTGGGCAGTGAGCAAGAAAATGAATTTTTCACATATAAGCATGAAGACTCCCTTTCTCTAACTTTAGGGTAGTTAAGAGTTGTCACCCAATGCAGGAGCATTCACTGTCTGAAAATCAGCATCTTTGTAAATTTATTTTTTAAAACTTTATTTTTTTAAACAAAAAGACAGAAATAAGAAGCTGGGGTGGGGAAAATCACAGGATACTCTTAGCATTCCCTGAGACAATGAATACACTAAAATTTAACAGTTTTTAACAAGAAGGGAAAATCAAAGTGATCATCTGTACAATAAATGAAGAGTGTATATGTATGCCATTCAGATTTTAATTTACCTTATGTGCTGCGTAATGAATTAAACAATGGAGGCCTATAATAAATGGAAATGCAACCAAATCTTTGAAACCCATAGGCAATTGCTCACAAGACAGCTCGGCAGTTGACAAGTAACATGAGCCTTATGTGAGAAGAAGGGAAAATCGTAAGATTTGCATATAATTATTGAGATCATGCAAATGTCAGTTATGAGGAGGGAGAGAGAGGAGGGGGGAAACCCAGGCATCTCACTATTAAATCCTGACAGTTGGCATCACTGAAGAGCTCAGATACATTTGAGCGCCAGTTGGCAGAGGGTCATTAAAACAGAATTTGCAGAAACATTAGTTCCTTCACTTTTCTTTGAGTGACGTTTTACTATTAATAGTTTGCAGAGGCTTTGCAGAAAACATATTAATAAGAGTCACTGTAATGGGGGTATCTGCAGCAAGTGTAAATGTAACAAGGTGGCCCCCAAGAAGCTATCCTCTAATTGATTGGTATGAAACCATCAGCCTGAGTATTCGAAAGCAAGGAGAGAATGCCATGACAAGGAAATGCTGTTGAATTGTATAATGCAATATTTGGAGGAAAGAGAGAGAGAGGGAAGAAAGTTACTCGTTCCTGGCCTTTCCTTTACTAACTCCTTTTACACTTTCTGGAACTCTCAAAACATTCCGGTATGCAGCCTGTAAAATGGGTGCTGAGAGGAATGAAGAAAAGGGAACCTTTAGAGTATTTGTCAGTGTGCAAATGTATCTTTATTTTACCGGACAATACCATTCATTCTCTAGCTTTGATATGCGGTGTCAATGCAGTCAGTTTAAAATAAAACATGCCTGGGAGGGAATGTGCTCTGTGAATGAATTAGCTTCTCTTGTAGAGAATATTCTCTTTTGGATTCATTTGTATGAAATGGACTTGCAGCTTACTGAGCTCATGAATAAAGAGGGTGGGGAGATGGGGGTGGGGGTGGAAGCGAGAAAGAGAGGGGACTCAGGGCTATTTCATTTCTTGCTTTTACACAACCTTCTAACACCCTTTATTTTAAAGAGGACACGCAACATAAAATCTGTAACTGATTTGTTTTCTCCAAATCCGTCTTACTGAATACAAAACTTTCCTGATTAAATCCTTCCTTTTATATATCTAAGTTTATGTGTATGCACACATGCATTCTGATAATTTTTTTTCTTATTCTCTTCTTTCAGCTAAGTCAGCACTTCACTAGAGCCAAGGATGAAAGGAATTTATACACAACCGAGCCAGTTAGATTTCCAAGTGAACCAAAACTGGGGGGCAAGACGGACTCTGGCTTGCTTAGGCAACCTCTGGCGATAAGTTCATCTGAACGTGCTTTACAAGACAAAGGTCTGCACAATAACCAAACATCTTCCACAGGAAATGATTTTTGTATGATACCCCCAGAAAAATTGACTGCACTGGACTCGGTAAACAATAGGGCCCAGTCTTCAGAAAGCTTTAGTACCATTGAAACCCTTTCATCACTGGAGCACTGGTCTGGAACGAAAGAAAAAGAGACCGACCGTTTTACAGATGTTATCTCAAGTAAACATGGGGTGTGTCAGGCAGATGTTCAAAAGCATGAATCTGAAGATGCCTCAGGAAGCAAAACAACGGAGAGTTTGTTAATCAGAGAGGATAATGATGATCACCACAGAAAGGGGTGGGAAACAAGGCCCCAAATAGTACCCTTAGAGTATGATGAAGCCATCGAGTTAAAAGAGGAAGTATTGGAAAGAGTGGATGACAAGGTCAAGCCATTTCTTGGGCAACATATGCAAGAAACCTCTTCTCAAACTCTTGAATCAGTTTTAGAAAACATTGACAAAAAGGAATTAAAAATTGAGAGATATGGGAACAAAAAGGTGTATTTAAGAGGAGAATTTAATACCAATACCTTAGCTGAAACTAATGTCACAGCAATGTCTTTCACAAGTTCGCATACCAAAGATGACATTGTAGAAGAAAAATATAAGTCTGAGTATAATCTTGATAAGGTGAAAGAAATAAAGTTGAGCATTTTAGAGCAATCTTCAGAAGAGGCACTAGCATGCCCTACCAACAGGCATGGAAAAGATTCCGCTGAAATACAAAATCAACAACCATTGTTGTTCACACCCAGTAACAATGAAGGCAGTACAATAGAGAAGTTTTCTCAAAGAGAAATGATGAGTCCTGGTGTGTTAGATGTAGCAAAAGATGAGGAATTACATGAATCCATAGATATATCAGGGCTAAATGCTGGAGAAATCTCAGGCAAAAGAAATAAGCAGGAAAGCACAACTTCTGTTGTAGGTGAATTAAGTCAAAATTTAAAGGGAGCAGAGAGTAGTTACCCAGAAGACATTCAGACTACAAGTGGGATTTGCTTGAGCTACCCAAATTTGGTACAGGCAACTGATGCAAGTATATCCACATATTCTGCATCAACAAATGTAGAAGATGTCTTTGATGCTGGAGGAAATTTAGAAGAAGGGAAGCACAGTCAGGGCTATGACCTAGCAAACAGAAAGATGTTGCAGGCAGAGCTGTGCCAAAGTGATCCTGGCAGGTTTACTGATGATGATCAGAGCAGCAGGGTCACATGGGGGGATCAAAGTTGGAGAGGCTTAGGAAGTCAATTGGCAGAAAAGGAAAGCGAAGCCAGTGAAGGAGTGCAGGTGGAAGAGCTAACAGGTGGCGAAGCTATGTGGGGAATTAAAGACGATACAAGATGTTTGGATGTAACTCCCACAGATGAATTGTTTACCTGCCAAGACCCGGTGAGATATGAAGAGTCTTATGTAGTGGAGCATGATAGTATAAGGGAAGCAGAGGCAGTTACAGCCTCTTATATAATTAAAATGACATCAGAAAGCACTCCAGAAAAAATGTCTGCTGGAGAAAAAGCAGTAATTGTTAAGCTACCTCAAGAGACCGCACTAAGTGACAGGTCCACAGAGGAAAAGGAAACAGTGTTTGATATACATGAAGGGAGAAGTGATGGTTCACATTATCCTCTTTGTCAATGCAATACAGTGGGTGTATTATATGACACCAAATTTGAAGAGGAATCAGTTTCAGATATTTATAATGCACGCATACATGAAACAGTGCACGGAGAAATGATGTCAGTACGCAGTGCAAGCGGAAAGCTTGGTGGAGCAGAACATAGCACTGGGAATGATTCACCCCCAGATGAAATATTATGGACTTCTGCTGCAGAAGGAAAAGCCATTTCAGAGCAGGATTTATATCCTGAAACATCTCCGAAAGCTTTGCAGGGCCTACCGCAAGGCCTATGCAACAAAGAGGCTGAAGAGGCAAGTGTCTGGAGAATGCTTCCTCACGACAGTGCTAAAGCAGAAAGCAAAATTTCCCCTTCTGAGGTCATTGTTGCTGGCAGCTATTGCGAAAGTTCATCTGTGACATCTTCGGAAGAGTCCAGGGGAGCTCTTCCTGCTGAGGGGGGGCAAGTGTTGCATCCAGACACAGAAGCTTCAGTCGATATTGCAGCTGACTCAGAATGCAGCTTCACCTCAACTGGTGAAGCAGCTCCCATGATTCCAAATATTTCTTTGGAGACTGAACTCCAAGAACTTCCTGAGCGTTCAGCAGTGCTGCCTTCTAGTGAGAAAGGAGAAAGAAGCACAGGTCTGTTTCCCCATCAGCCAGAGCTCAAACAGGAGAAGTTATTAGGGCCAACCATTTTAATTAGTGAACCCCTAGAAGAAAGAGAAGAGAGAATCTCAGAGTCTGAAGGTTTGATAACTGAAGAAACATTGAACACTGATGGGCTTGGCCACCAGTCTGTTTTTGGTCACACAGCAATTTCTGGCCAGCAAAGTGAAGTTTATAGCTTACCATCTGAGTGTCTCGTTTTAAAGCACATTGGTTACAAAATACTTTATTTCCTCTTGTTCGTTGTGTTTTGCGTCACTTTGTACCACTACGATTTAATTGTTTGCTTTGCACTCTACTTCTTTTCATTGTATTGGCTATACTGTGAGGGCAGGGGGGACGAGGAATCGGTAAAAAAAGAGTAGTATCAAGCTGCCAAATGTCTACATGAAGCACTTAACATTTAATATCAGTATATCCCAAAGCACAGCCATGTCCACACAGAACCAACTCAAGATCCCCCCCCCACTTCCCTTGAAATAATGCTTAAAGGAATGTACATGGAGTTTGCTCCCTCATATAAGTAATTATTCTGCATAGGACCATTAAGTTTGGATCATTAAATACCTATATGAATATGAGTTCTGAAGCACATCAAGTTGAAATTAAATACAGCTGCTGCTCCTTTTCTGGTTAGGAAGATGTGAAGCTTGAGTCTCTTCAGAGTCTCTTACAATTTTATCGCGCTCATTTGTTTTGTAGTAAAGCTTTATTTTCTTTCTGAAAGGCTTTTTAAAAAATGGTTTTATATAGCAAGTAAGTAAAGAGGCAATGGCATTATTACTAACACAGTAATAGGGCATGTCCACTTAGGAGTTTCCTGTATTTTATACTTATGCACTAAAATTGAAGGATGAGAAGTAGGCCCCACAAAATAAGGTATTGTGTGGCCAGGGAATTTTGCACACCATTCCTCAGTGTGGACTATATCATGTCCATTCATCCCACGATTTTCCTGTTTTGCTGGGTGAACAGATGGGAAAACCAAAGCTGCAGTATTATTTGCAGGGATCTGATGCACCGAGTTGGAGCCCTTCTCTTCCTCCTCTTTCAAACTATGCAATGTGGACATGCCCTTAATATATTAATACTGACCATAGGCACGATCCACTGGGATGTCACTCTGCATGCACCGCTGAAATTGATAGGAGTTGTGCAAGAGTGCAAGGAATGTGCCCCATACGCATTTAATGATGTACAACTAGAATTAGCAAGCATATTTTGGGAGAAAAACTCAACTTTATGGGTTAAGTAGAGCCGTCATCAGACATTGCCAATCAGAATTAAGGAAACATATGAGGAGGGTCATGCGGTCAAGTATGCCAGCTCTGCCCTTTGTCACCATTCTCATCTCCCTCCAAATTGAGGAAGTCAGTCTTCTGAAGCAGAGCCTTCTGCCCTCATGAAGGTTCACGTGTCCTTTAGAACCCTGATTTTCTAGCGTTCTAAAGAACAGAGAAAGATTCCATGAGTACAAGAGATCCCCCACTTCAGAAGATTGTCCTGCACACACCAGAGGGTGACAGAAATAGTGACAAGTGGGGGGCAGAGATACCCCCAGCTCTGATGTTAACTTAATACTTCTTGATAATGCCTGAAGGAGGCATAGGTGGCTGCTGTTGTTTTCCCCCCAATGTGATGATATTAATTAATAAATGTCTGCACAGTTACAACTCTAGACTCCAGTGCAATTGTGATGTAACTTTGTATGTGTAAAAAAAAAAAAGTGCTATGCAGAAAACAGGCTCTTGTTCACACCACGGAGCTGATATGGACTGATGTAGACTGAAGGATACAAATTAAAGCCTGGTTGTCTTTAGATATTGTTTATATATATATATATATATATACATACTTTTTGTAAATGAAGACTGTGTAACGCAAGGGAAGAATTTCACTTAATTTTAGCATTATTCCAGTTGGACTTTCTGAATGATGTTGTTTAAACCATGTTGCTTTAGAAAGGCAATCCCAACAAGTGTTGAATAATAGTAATAATAAACAAATTTTGAATGGTTGGATTGTGTGTGGATTACTTTGGAACCTCGCAAGATAATAACGAGTCCTAAGCCTTCTTGCTGCAAGGTTGATGCTCTAAAAGTTTGGATCAGTTGACAAGCCTTGGCTTTGTGAAAATTATGGAAAAGCTAATAAAGAAAGAATCCATGAAAATCAGTTGCTTTGGTCATATTGGGCCAATCTTGAAAGAAAATTCTTTCTTTCTTTTTGTGGGAAGACAGGTAGATTTACCTTCTCTTGCCACAATGATTTGCATCAGTTGACAGACTCCAGACTCCATAACTGGTAACTTTGAAACCCTTTTTAAGTAATATCCAGCATTTCCCCATATCCCTATCTTTCCCCATATACCTATTCTTGTGCACTGCACAAGAATCCTATGGCTTCACTCCCCACACCCTGAGCAATATGCTTACATATCCATGCCTTGACATTTGTATACTTGTTTTCTTATATGATCAAACTGTTTCACACAGATTTTCTCGGTAGAGCACATTGTCCCCATTTAACAGATGATGGGAGGGTATGCTAAGGCTGATTGTACCTTGCCACCTTGTGCATTTAGAGTAATCTGAGGTTTGAGTAAGAGACTTGTTGACTGGGAGTTTATGTGATTAACCACTGCATTACCTTTTCTCAGTTTATCCTGTATATTAAAATGGAAAATGAAAAGTTGTGGATCCAAAATGGTGGTCAAAAGGTTGACAGCTTGGTTACTTAGCTTCTTATCTAATTGTTTGACTTTTAAAATATGTAAAATGCACTGGGACCTGCAGATAAATATATATCTATATATTTCCATGGCTGCTGAAGTGAATCAAATATATATCTGAATAATCTGTTCTTGAATAATCAGACAAATGGGTAGTGGGGAGAGGAGAGATAAGATGAATTAACTAAATATCTAAATTTCAGATAAACTATCTGCCACAACAAGTAATAGAATAAAATAAAATGCATATTCTACATATTTATGCAAGAGGCAGAATTGTACTTCTCTTTTTACTGACAATCACAAAACTTTCAGGTTGTTGTGTTCTATTTATTTCTTCTAAAATATTTTTTCATTGCCTTCTTTTACCTCATCAGCTATTGTGCAGAACAATTTTATTAACATGTTAAATATTTAGGCATACGGTTTTCATTTCAAACCATCATTGCCCACCTTTCAAGCTAAAGGGGTAGCTTTTTAAATATATATATATATACAAATAATATATAAATATATAAATACATATATTTATCTCTATGAAATTCCAAGAATTGCAGGCCTCAACCAATCATCTTTATATTTTTTTTTAAGCATGTGCAGTTTTCAACATTCGCAAACTATTTGGTATCTATGGAAGAGCTGGATATAGAACTTTAAAACACATAAATAATGTCAAACCCCAAGAGTCACATCTGAAGAGAAGCTGATGGAGTGGGGAACACATCCTGTTTTCTACAGAGAGCAGGAAGGAGTTGCATGGAACAACCAGCATGTGAATATGTGCTGCAAGCCAAATTTAGAGAAGGCCACCGCTTTCTCCTCTTCATGTGATAGATAGCTCATAACTACCATGCCATTTCTGGGCTTCAGCTCTGACCTTTTGCTTTAAATCACATGTCAAAATGCACCGTAAACCCCCCAGAATAGCATGGCACTGTTTCACTCATTTGATAATGTGCAAGGTGTCATGGAAAAGCAGTGTTTAGACAAAACGGTTCGTTAATTTGGAATTGTCAAACATCATAAGGTGCAAAGTGCAAGAAATTCAACACTAGCAAATCCTACCATGACATTTTAGATTAGATGATGTGGTCGGACAGCCACCTGCAGCTGTACGTCAAGTCTTAGTGCAGGCATATGGCTTGCAAAGCAAATAGATGCCCATGATTTTCTATGGTGGAATATATAGCCAGGAATGGAGGATTCTATCAGTTTTGGTTTCTCTCACTTTTCCCATCTTAAATTCAGTTCACTATATTTCCTCATCAATTTGCAATTTTTAAAAAGTCTGTATGAAAATTCAGTGGCATTTGAGGGCACATTTCTCCCAATATACCATTCTTTCCTATGCAGTTTTGCCTAATATGCCATTTTTTTGCAAGTATTTCCCCCTAATATAATGCATTTTTATAGAGGGACACGGGTGGTGCTGTGGGTTAAACCACAGAGCCTAGGACTTGCCGATCAGAAGGTCGGCGGTTCGAATCCCCGTGACGGGGTGAGCTCCTGTTGCTTGGTCCCTGCTCCTGCCCACCTAGCAGTTCGAAAGCACATCAAAGTGCAAGTAGATAAATAGGTACCGCTCCGGCGGGAAGGTAAATGCCGTTTCCGTGCGCTGCTCTGGTTCGCCAGAAGCGGCTTAGTCATGCTGGCCACATGACCCGGAAGCTGTCTGCGGACAAACGCCGGCTTCTCGGCCTATAGAGCGAGATGAGCGCCGCAACCCCAGAGTCGGTCACGACTGGACCTAATGGTCAAGGGTCCCTTTACCTTTATAATGCATTTTTAATGCAATCTTCACAGATATATGCACTTTTATCCACGCTTCCCTGATATATACTTTTTTGAAACTTCGGGTTCATGTTCATCAACTGCCTTCAGCTATTCACCACAGAAAAGACTCGATACAAGGCCATCTTCAAACTTGGCAGTCGTAACAATATTCTTATACATGACAATTTGGCACCATTTGGATTGGTACCCAAAGAAGCAAGAAACAATAGCACAACAGGAGCTAAGCTTTGAGGTTCTCTTCTTCGGGAAATGATACAATGGTGTTTAGAGGCAGGGGACCATGTTAAAATGACATATTCTAATGGCAAGATGTGCTCTCTGTCTAGAACAAATAAACATGCATCCTGTTTCACTCTTTCCTGTGTCACCTCTTGTTGCCTCCCATAGGAACATAGCTGCCTTACACTGAGACAGACCATTGGTCCATCGAGCTCAGTATTGGCTATATTGGCAGTGGCTCTCCAGGGTTTCAGGAATGGGTCTCTCTTAGTCCTACCTGGAGATGCTGGGGATTGAAATGGGGACCTTCTTCATGCAAAGTAGATGCTCTAACATCTACTGGTGCTTATAATATTACTTACAATATGGAGAACAAGAACATGTTCATGCAGTTAAAGGAGACATCACAGAGAAATCATGCAATGTCTGTCTTCTTGGCTGGACTGAGGACGAGGCTGGACTGAGGACGAGTCCAGCCCCTGAACCTTCCTGAGAACAGGAGAACAGTATAGATTTAGACCAGCGGTTTGCAGAAGGCCATAGTTCAGAGGCTGCAGAGGGCAGAAGCTGGGAAATATTGGAAAAGGATCAGCAGGAAGAAGAAGCAGCACCAGGGGAGAGACAGCTGACAGACTCAGTGTCCTTGGAAAGCATTCCTGACCCCCCCTTCTCCCCAGGACCAGATGGGCATTGAGGGTAGTAGAACAGAGAGCTCAGCGGCAGAAGGCTCAGATTAGCCAACACAGGACTGCTGTAGATTAAGGGAGACGAAAGGGGGGTGGGACTTTACTTGGAGCAACACCATCATTGCATAGAGACTACATCCCTTTGTCTTTCTCTCTGACTACTGAATAAATTACGTAGTAAGGACTCTTCGTGTTATCTGCTTTTTTTGGGAGGGCTGTCACCAGTGGAGGAATAGTGTTCCCTGATCCTTGACACCTTTGTATAACCGCCTTGATTAAGATGCTAGTGTGCCACATCCTACCTGAATCACTGCAAGTTTGTTTCACAGCTCCCTCTGATAATGTAACACTCTGCGGGCCACATTCAATGTTATGCAAATGTAAGCCATCTCCCATAATGGAGATCTGCCAACCCTTCTCCTACTGCAATTCACTGTCCCATTTGAAAAGCCTCTCCTGAGCATTGGGGATTGGGCATGGTGACGGCAGTAGGAAAGTTGGAATTCAGGGGCCGGGCTGCCTTCTTGCTTGCTCACCCAACACCTGTGCCAACTTTGATTCCAGGCAGCTCTGGACTGTCAACAGAGCCCAAGCCAGCAGTCTAGCATGTTTTGATCTTTGTTTTATACATTGCACATCAATACACCCACTCTCATTTCTTTTCGCATCATTATTGTTGGCAACTTTGAACTGCAAGAGACAAGAAGAGAATTAATTCTGAGATCTTAATTAGAAGAGAAAATTCCTCATGCCAAATGTTAAAACTAACAGTTGAATAAATCCTGCAATAATTTGTTCCAGGCTTGTAGACAGAATGCAATTTTTATTTTAATGTCTCCAGCTATTTCAGTTTTCATAAATTAATGTATCATCAATAACAATCTGCAATACACAAGTTTGCCTACAGCATTAGATCATTTAAAAATGATCTAGCAAAGAGATGTGGTATTCCCAGATGCTCAATGCAAAGTTATTAACTTTTGCTTTATTTCTTTCACACACTCAGTCACATTTATTCGCTCCAATCCATTTTAGTCAGCCAAAGCAAAGGAGTGAGCCAGATATGAAGAGATAACAGAACTATCCATCATTCACTTATTTATTTCATCATCAAAATCAATATATAGTCATTCAGAAGGACCAACTCTAACCTTCATCTTATTGTTCTTGATTTGCTTCTTTTTCAAAAGTTTCACTCTTCGATATAATCCCTGAAGCTCAAATACTTGTGGTGTATTTTTACACAGAGTGGATTGATCCAGGACCTCTCTTACCCCTGGGTTTTCTGGTGCCAAT